CACCACTGATAACTCTCACCTGGTGAATCCACACACTCGCTAATTCTCCCCAATGTCTCCCCGAGTGTAGCTTAGTGCTCAGCGACAGAGACAGCATCGGAGCCGGTGGGGCGGCTCATCTTTTAAAACAGTTCTCCCAAACAGAGACAAACGGGGTGCTAGGAAGCAGGACCTCTCAGGTTCTAAAACCAGCTCTGTTACTGACGTGCAGTGTGACTTTGGTCACTTCCCCTCTCTCTCTACCTCAGTTTCCCCATTTGTAAAATGAGGTTAATGATATTGATCTACTTCAAAGGGGTGTAGTGTGGCCTAATTAATTAGGTATTATATGCAGAGCGTTTAAAAAATATGCAGCTGTCAAGAATCTGATCTCAGGGACCCTGATGTAAATCCAGAGCGACCCCGCTGAAGTCAAGGGAAGCAGGGCCCGATTCTGATCTCAGTTACTCCAGTGTAAATCTGGAGTGACTCCACTAAAGGTAATAGTCACGACCTGATTATGGTTTCAGTTACCCAGCTGTGAATCCAGAGTGACTCTAATGCAGTCAGTACAGTCAGGGCTGCATTCAGATCTCTAAGGTGCCACAAGTACTCCTGTTCTTTTTGCGGATACAGACTAACACGGCTGCTACTCTGAAACCATTCAGATCTCAGTGATCCTGGTGTAAATCCAAAGTGACTCCTCCGCTGCGGTTAGAATGGGTCCCACAGTTAGAATGGGTCCCACAGTCTGCTGAGTCAATTCCCATATCTATAGTAGCACAGTCAGTTAAACTGCGGTGATCCAAACCAGGCGTATTTTGGAGAGAGAGAGAAACACCACTCTGATCTCTGGACAGGGGATGTCAGATGTGAGTAAAAGTCACAGGCAATACAGAGGCGAGCTCTCCACCTAAACAGCACCCTGATTGGACAGTGTGATCTCACTAAAAGAGCAGGAATCAGGAAGTGCTGGAGGGTGTGTGGGGTAATGGGGCGGGCTCCTGCAGCCTGAGTCCTTCCCACTTCTCAGGGGGCAACAAGCTTTCTGCTTCTCGTGGCACTCAGCACTGAACTGCAGTTTCCTGACTCTCTCTGCTGGCCAGGCTGATCAGAAAGCAGCATGGAGGCCCCTGGGAGAAGTGACCTGATGAGGAAGCTGAAAGCCCTGGGCAAGGAGGAGTTGGAGGAATTCAAGGATAAGCTGAGTGAAGTCCTGCTGGAGGGGGGATCTGAGCCCATCCCCAAAACACCAGCTGACCCGGCTGCACTAACCGACCTGCTGCTCAGGCACTGCAGAGGGGATTCGAAAGTGGTTCTGAAAGTCCTGGAAGATGTTGAAGCCAGACTCCGGAAAGGTAAATCTGGAGCTGACTCGATTGCTCTTCACTTGAGGTACAACACGTCTTGCGGAGTGCGTATACGTCTCTTACAGGGTTTGCTGATAGGCCCCTGTGGGTGCAGGTGCAATGGTTTATGGGCAAGCATCCCAGACAGACATGCCAAACCCCCACAAAAAATGCAGAAGTTGAGCTTGTTTTTGGCTTAATTGGCTTGTGAGTTGCTTGTTGGCTAGTTTTTGGCTTGTGGCTTCTTTTTTTTGATCGGCTCCTGGCAAGCAGGGGCAAGGGGGAGAGAGTCAGGGGTGCACTGTGGGCCCACTACAGTCCCAGACTGCAGGGCAGGGGGATCTAGTCACATACAGTGTTGGGGTTCTTAGAGACTGGCTTGTTTTGACCTTGTTTTGAAATGGGATTAGCTTGTTTTTTGGCTTATTGTGAAAGTCGAGGTGCTTATTTACCGTGGGAAAGTTGGCAACTGTGATCCCAGAGTGCCCTGGGCCGGGCTAACTTTTTTTTTGTGGCATGGCCTTATGGGAGAACTTGTCTGCTCAAGGGCAGAGAGTGGGAGAGCTGTGGATGGAAAGGTCAAATGAGTAAAAGCTCCCATGATCTAGCCTTCTTCTGCCTGCTCCAGAATTCCACTTCCCCATGCTGCTTGCGAGTGTGGGTTACTTACTTGAGAGCAGGGATGCTGCACAAACCCTGATGGAGATCAGGGGGGCCCAGTTGTGCCGGGCCCTGGACAGACACGCTGAGTGACAGTCCCTGCCCCAGGGAATTCCCTATCTAAACAGGCAGGGCAGACAATGGGAGGTTAATAATGGGGATTAGAGGCCCAGACAGTCAGTGACTTTCCCCAAATGTCACATGGGTCTGTGGCCAAACTGCAAATTGAATCCAGATTTCATGGGCCCTTTGCTAGTTCCTTAACCACAAAACCTGCCCGCCTTCCTCTCAGGATAGGAGCCCTGCTGTGCTGGGTGGATTTGATGTTAATCAAATTGATTTAAATCACTAGTCAGGAAGACTCACTTTAATCATGGTTTTCTACATAAAAGTGCATTCTTGTTGGTTATTATAACCTTAATACATGTTCTTCACAACTCAGAGATAGATGTAGGTTTCAGTTTTAGAAGGTACACACTAAACATTTTTTTTAAGTGATTTATTCTGAAAACTTTTCAGATTAGTATTACAGCTATATGAGAAAATGAATGATTGTTTGGTTATTTCATTTACCAAAGGTAATTGAAGCAGATAGTTCACCTCCCAATGACTTCATAAATATCTCCAATTCAACAGGTTAATCATTAATATTAGGAGGGTTTTTTTGCCAGGCTGTATTAGGAGGAGAACATCACCAGACAGACATTTAAATTGTTTTATTTAACTAAAACAAAGTTAAGTATTTTGGATTTTTTTCTTCAACAGCAAACTTATAATATTTTAACAAAACAAGCATATGTCCCTCACTTCTCACATTTATCTCCAGACTTCTTCTCCTTGTCCAGATCTATTCCATCCCCAACAATCTCCTATTCATTGAACTTTTTGAAACTTTGCACTTTTAGAGAGAGGTAAGGGATTGACTCTGTGTACACAAATTTGCAGAGGGACAATAGAATTGAGGTCTGTTATTTCTCACCTCTATATATTTATTTATGTAAAAACATTTTTCCTGTTAACAAAAGCATGTTACCCCTGGAGACACAAATCCACAGCTTGAGAACTGCAAAACTAAGCATCTCTGCTGGGATCTTCTAGACTGAGCACTGCATCCCATTGGGTAGATAGAAAGATTAACCCAAATAATCTATGCAGAAGCCTGTGGAACCCCATAAGATTGGGTCCCTAATCCATGAACTATTGGAACTCATTTACAAAACTTTTCTAAAACATTACATGAATATATTGTCTCATACTATAGAATTAAAATTTATAATCCCTATTCCATGATAAAATACATTATAGCTCAAAGATATCTCAATTAAAACTATCTTTAGGTAGGTTTTTTTCCTCAAAAAGCATTTTATCAAAAAAATCAGATTTTTTTTAAATTTTTTTTTTAAATCATTAATTTTTATCCACCCTGCCTGCATGTGTAGGAGTATTTCCTCTTTTGTAGCAAATATTATACAAGTGAGATTTCAGTTCTCAGTGGCTGACACTCTGACTCTGATTTTGCTCAATCCTTATTCAGGGGAATCCCAGTGGAATTCAGTAAAGGGAATTCACTGGTCTAGTGGATTGTCGGGTATGAGGGTCAATGGAATTTGAGCATAGCCTGCCAAAATTATATGGCCACAAATGTTTTAAAGATTCCTTCCTTTCGCTCATTCCTCCTCATCTTAAGCTTTTGTTTCCCTCTGCTCTTAAAGCCTGAAGCTCCCCTATCTTGCTTTGTGTTGTAATTGACACCTGAGCAGAGGTGTCAAAAACTATCTACTGTATCATCATCAGCAGTGTAAACCGCTATTATTCATGTGAATGGAGAACTGATTTGACAGCACCAGGCAGCAAGGACGTTTCTGTTCTTTCTCCTTGCAGAGCCTTGGAAACATAATTGATATAAACCAACTACTAGGGGCAGACTTAATCTAGTGTTATTCCTAAAGATCCCAGGTTATTCTGGTCCTGTGTGGAAAATAAATATATATATTTGGGTTTCTGAAAAATTGGGGGGTGGGAAGGAATTCCTTTTGCATCAAACTGAAAATTATTTTATACCTTAATGGCAACCCAAAACATGTAAAAATGTTCATTTTAGGTTTGTTTTGACAAAATTGAAACTTTTGTTTCACTTTTGGCTGTTTTTAAAGCATTTTGATTGCTTTAAAAAGAATTAAAGGAAACCTGGAAACAAAAAGTTTTGTTTTGAAGTGAAAAATCAAAATGTTTTCAATATGTCAACGTGAAATATTTCATATTTTTTGGATTTTTTTTTTAAGGTTTTTTTTCTAAATGAACAAGTCAGCCAAAGTGACACCAATTCACAGAACATTTTGGTGTGGCTGAAGCTAAATTTTTTGTTTGGGTCGATAGAAAGTCATATGAAATTTTTTTTGTCCATCTCTAGTCCTGGCCTGTTTTTTACCTTTCAAGTTCACTCTCTCCTAAGTCTCTCCCACAGCTTTGAGCCATCCACAACAAGAGCGGAAGCCGTCCACTTGCACTAAAGCAGCCGATTCAGGTGAGTTGTGCTGAGCCCATGAAAATCTGGCCCTGTGGTCTGTTGTATCTCTTTATCCCAAGCTCATGGTGGAAGTACCTGAGAGTACGTCTATACTACCCGCCAGACCGGCGGGTAGCGATTGATCTATCGGGGATTGATTTATCGTGTGTAGTGTAGACGTGATAAATCGATCCCCGATCGCTCTCCCGTCGACTGCTGAACTCCAGCAGTGTGAGAGGCAGAAGCAAAGTCGACGGGGGAGCCGCGGCTGTCAATCCAGTGCTGCGGGGACGCGAAGTAAGTAATTTTAATTCGATCTATGATACGTCAACTTCAGCTACGCCATTCTCGTAGCTGAAGTTGTGTATCTTAGATTGACACCCCCCCCCCGGTGTAGACCAGGCCTGAGTATCTTACAGAGCTGTGTGTCTGTCATGTAATGCTAAACTTTCGCTCTCTCCGCCTCTGTCCGTTTGTCTGGGTGTCAGTGCAGGGGCTGGGAGAGCGTCACTCCAGGGTTAGTGCCTTCTCCTCTGATCTGGGAAGCCAACTCTCTTGTACCTCTCCATGGAGAACTCTGCTCTCTCTTATCTTTAGGACCAAAGAGCCACTTCACGCATTCAGGCGATGAGATTCCCCCTGGTGAAGGAGGGACACTAGCATCTGGTGAGTTGAGAATCGCTCATGGTGATAGCAGGGGCCCTGGGAGAAATTCACTGCTGTGATGGACTGTGACAGCCCTGGAACTGTATGTCAGACCAGAGTCATTGCAGGGGTTTGGGCCTGTTTAATTTTTCCCCTCAGGGAAGGGCCACATGGGGGTTGTTGCCTGATTTTAGGAGGTTAATATTATTATTTTGGATAGTATGGGTTATAGGCTCGCCAATCAATCTGATCAGAAGATAATAAAGGTTCTTGTCCCAGAATCTGGCTACACAGAAAATGCACAGGACCCTCGGGGGCATGACAGGACGCTCACACTGAGACCAATATAGTCTTAAAGACTTTTATTGAGATAAAAAGAAATTATAATCAAATGGCAAAATATCGGAGAGTTACAAATGCAATACTATTATTTTAAAGATACATATGATATTGTATCATAGAATCATAGAAGATTAGGGTTAGAGGAGACCTCAGGAGGTCATCTAGTCCAACCCCCTGCTCAAAGCAGGACCAATTCCCAACTAAATTATCCCAGCCAGGGCTTTGTTAAGCCCTGTTATATTATGTTTGTTATATACTATAACGCTTTTGATTGATAGACTCACACCCTTCCTTGATGACCTGATTATAAGAGACCAAGGACCAGCCTTGCCTCAGGTTCCTCAATTCTTTTGACTGGGAGGTGCAGATCTCAGAAGAAGCTGGCGCTAAGAGCTATTGAAGCTGACTTAGAATTTCACTTAACTAACAGACTAATAAACTAAGACAGACACTTGAAGCGTAGATTCTTAGACACTTAGAGGAGATAATGGTGTATTGTAGCATGGTGCGTCATCCCGCTTAGGAGGGCTCAAGAACCCATGCCCTATATGTCCAAATTTAGTTTCCTCACCCCCCCCACAATGTTGGGGTACACTTTCTCCATAAGCTGGTATGTGTGTACGTATTGATGACGTGTGCATACATATAAATGACATTAGATCATTCACACATTTGTTATTTTTGTTCTCCTGGTTCTTTCGGTTAAAGTTAAAGGTCGCTGCCATATATGGACCTTATGCTTTAACTTATCACTATCTATCTAGGTGAAAGCATACATATGTCTAGGACCTAACTTTGCCTTTGCTTAACATACAGGGTATGGCCTGTAGGTCTCTTGTGTTACAGCCAAACTACTTTAATATAAATCTATAAACCTATTATAATAAAACAAATAATCAAAACCGTAAGAAAAGAGATACAGGCAAGTAAGCTAGCTGTATAGGCTACAGGGTTGATAGAGGAAAGCAAAACCTGGGGTTGGCTTCCTGGAGTAAGTGCTAAATTTCATTCCCCTTCTCCTTCCAAAACATCCAACCTAAAGAGCGTTTCAGTGTTGGGTGGAGTGGCTGCTATGCAGCTGCTGTGCCCCACCCCAGAGGTGGCTACATTTCAGTGTATGGGTGAATAATATTCTGTGCATGCACAAGGATCATAGGTCCTTCACATATACATATAGGCAGGCCTCAGCTGGAATACTGTTTTACTGCATGTTCACTTTTTTTTTTTTTTTTTTCTTACTGTAACGGATTGGTGAGAGGCCCTCACAGCAAATTAAACACTTTAGGCCAGCTTCTGATCTCCGTTACCCCAGTGTAAATCTGGCTTTGGCTCCAGTGAGATCAGGATAGTTATTCTGGATTTACACCAGCATAAGTGAGATCAGAAGCTGCCCCTAACCTCATTAATTTCAGCCAAGTCCCTCTGGATTTACACCAGGGTCAGGGAGAGATTCTGATCTCAGCAACTCCATTGATTTCAATGAGGTGGCTCCATATTTAGCCAGATTCATAATGCCTTTATATAACTCAATGGTGTGGCCTCATCGGGGATACTTTGTGCAGTCCTGGGCACCCCATCTCCAAAGGGATATTGCAGAAGTGGGGGGGGGGTCACAGGAGGGTGGTGACAATGATTAGGGAGCTGGGAAAACTCCTATGGAGAGAGCTTGAAAAGACTGGGATTGTTCTATTGGAAAGGAATTGAATAAGAGGGGACATGATAAAAATATGTAAAATAATGAATGGCATGGAGAAGAGAGATCAGGCGCTTCAGTTCTCCTCTCCTCCTAACACAAGAACTAGGGGACGTTCAATGACATTGGAAGGTGGCCAATTCAAAACCGATGAAGTGAAATCCTTTCCATATAAGGTGTAATTAGCCGGTGGAACTTCCTGCCACAGGAAGTCACTGAGGCCAAGAATTTAACAAGATTCAAGAAGGGATTGGCTATTCATATGGATCACAAGAATATCCCGAGTTAGCATAATTCTTAATGGGATCGATTTTGCAGGATATATTGAGCCACCTGCTTCAGGGTTTAAGCCATTCTCTATTAGAGACCAGGATGAGACCTATGTGGGAGACAGATTACCCAACATCTGCTACTACAGGGTTCCTATACCTTCCTCCAAAGCATCTGCACTGTCAGAGGACACTAGGCTAGATGGATCTCAGCTCTGATCCAGTCTGGCAGTGCCTGGGTTCCTACCTGTGAGAAGTGCCGTGGGCCAAAAGGTGCTAGAGAACTGTGCTAGATATTTATATTGATTTATTCATACTGTAATTCCACACTCCCCAGCAATTGCCTTCATGAAGAGGCATCTTTCCTTCAGTGGCTCCAAGGCCGAAGCTGCAGGTGAGTGAGGCTGAAATTGACCGGGCGAAGTGGGGTAGTTTGAGGGGCCTGAGTGGATAGAATCCAGACGCTGCCTTGGCCTGCAGCTTGGACCATCCACACAACGTCCCCCTTTAGCTGCACTGGATTTCATCTGTTGATTGCTGGCACTGTCATCAGGCTGCTTTTTGACCGTGTTCTTCCCTGCACGGATTGGCTATTGGCTATCTCTCCCTCACAGCCTCTTCCCCTCCACACCTGCTCCTCACACCCTCCTCCATCACCCTCTCCCCTGTCCTCTTTCCCTTTGTCTCTCTGTTTAGCTAATCTCCACCTACGTTTTTAAAAAAAAAAAATTTAATATCCTCCAGGCTGCAGAATCTGCCTCTGCTCTGGCCTCATTTGTTTTTCACCAGCCCCAAAAACCCAATTGCACTTAAAAATAATCCCCTGGAGAATGTGTTACTTGAAATAATATCTCCCCGACTGCTGCAGGAAAACAAAGCAGGAAGGAGGATCCCACTGGGGACAACTGGGGAACGGACAAATGCAAACTGTGTCCCAGGGAGGAGGTAAGGGATTAGGTGTATTTTTTTTCCCTTGCTCATTGTCTGTCAGTCTCTTTCCTTATGTATTGTCTCCTTCTCTGGGGTTTCTGGCTGTGATTTCACCCTCTGAGCTGAGCCAGGGGTATTCTAACACCTCCACTGTTTAGATCAGAGAAAATTTATTTAGGCGGGATTGTGCCTGGTGGGCCAGTCAGGTGATGGCAAATGGAGGAATCGGAAACTATTTAAGGATATGTCTTCACGGCAGAAAAAAAGACGTGTTCTTAATTACGGTTATTTATTAGGTGTATTACGGTAGCCCGTAGGCGCCCCAGTTATGAACCAGTACCCCATTGTGCTGGGCTCTCTATATTATGTATTAGGTGTATTACGGTAGAGCCTGGGAGATCGAGGCGTGGACCACAGAACAAAGAGCGTTCAACTCGGGTTAAAATAGCAGTGTAGATGCAGCAACTCAGCTTTTGATTCAGATCAGCAGCTCCCGTTCAACCCTGGCGGCCCTATAGGCTTTAACGCGAGGTACTAACCTGATTTAAAAGCGGAGATACTGTGTTTTTGCTGCTAGTTTTACCTGTTGGCTAACCCAAGTTAATAACACAACTTGTATTTGCAAGGAAGACGTGTTCCCCGTGTGCCTTTGTCAGTGTCTGTCTGTTGGGGTATGTCTACACAGCAGCTGGGCGGTGTGATTCTCAGCTCGGGTGGATGGCCGCATACTGGCTGTGCTTCAGCTTGCACCCCAAAATAGTAGCGTGACCACGGAGCTCGGGCGAGACTGTATTCGGGCTAGCCTGAGCCACCAGCTGTGTTGCCACAGTGTGAATTTTTAGGCCCCCACTGCTGTGTAGACTTACCCTGAGTCTGTAATATCATAGATTCATTGATTTTTAAGGCCAGAGGGGACCATTATGATCATCTAGTTTGACCTCCTGCATAACCCAGGCCAGAGAACCTAACCTGCATCAAGCCCATAACTTCGGTTTGCACTAGAGTGTAGCTTTTAGAAGACATCCGGTCTTGATTGAAAGATTCCAGGTGATGGCGAATTCACCACATCCCCTAGGTCTGTAGTTATTCCAGTGGCCTTATGTATAGTCTGGATTTGTCCAGCTTCAGGTTCCAGCCACTGGGTCTCATTGTGCCTTTGTCTGCTAGATGATCAGAATGTAGATTGGGGAGAGGGGGGTTGGAAACCCGCTCTCCCCTTCAAGCACGTCTACAGGGATCGTGTCAGTTGCGTTTATTAAATGTTGGGTTTCAAATCTCTCTCGTAATGCATCATCAGAACGGCCAGTTCACACACCATTTCCCTTCATCTTTTGGTGTCTGTTATGCTATTTGTAACAGAGCCTGTTTATACATCAGGAGTCTGGCCAAATGCAGGTCAGAAGCCTAATCAGTTGTTTACATGCAGCTCTTCTTAGCTTCAGCGGGAGATATTCATGTAACTACGGGAATAGCTGGGCCCTGGACTGAATCGATCCGGAGTAGTCCCATCTCGCACCCACCTCAGTGCAGCTGGTAGCTTAGAGAGACGATTCATGACTCCACAGAACCTCTCTTCCTGCAATCCAGAGTGTGATCACACCTGACAGTTGTCAGTGAGGATCCCACCTCAGCTAGCTAAAGATAACCAGGTATCGTAGTTGTGACCTGGGGCATCTCGGTCACCTGGGATGCATCCGACCGTGGGGCTGGAATTCAGCTGATCACCGAGTCCTCTCTGCCAGATGCACTGCACGGGTCCCAGGCCACAGCAGACAAGATTCCCACCTCACAAGAGCTCTGCAGTGGGAATCCCCAGTGAAGCCGAGTTAATGCCTGTTCCTGTGTTTTAGGATCCTCCAGAAGAAATAAACCCAGAGATTATTCGGGGCCCAGATAGGAACCAGGAGACGTACAGGTGAGGACGGGGGCTGGGAGGTTGAAGTCGCCCCCTCTGCAGGAGTCTGTGTCTGTGAGCCCAGGCCAGTCCCTATCGCACTGAGACCTTCTCCACACTAGAGAATTTCACAATAAAATTCGCACTGGCGCTAACCCCCATTTATTTGCCCCAGGGGGAATGATGACCTAGACAAGGTTCTTCTGGCTTTTGGTGTGTCAATTAAATAAGCAGTGAAATTGTCTAGGGATAAGAGGCAATAACCACGGGAATGGTGACTGTGATTGTGAAATGCTCAGGCAAATTAGAGAGGCTACAAAGGCAGAAAACACAGTTGGGGGATTTCAGTTACCCCCTTACTGACTGGGTACGTCACCTCAGGACAGGAGGCGAAGAGAAAATTTCTAGACCCTGTAAATGACTGGAACAGGTCAGTGTCAGAAGACAGGACACTAGGCTAGATGGACCATCGGTCTGACCCAGTATGTCCGTTCTTGTAGTGCTTCCTCCCTGTCAACCTTGGCCGCTCAGCCTTGCTCCGCCACCTCGTGGCCGATAGCCAATTGACAAGGGACTAGTGTCAGAAAAGACTCTAGGGCCCTGGCCCCTTTGGCAGGGCAGCACAGCTGCCTGTCTTTTAGCTCAGATCCCTGGCTGGGGCAGACAGCAAACAGTCAGGCTCAAGCCCTGTGGGTAGAGCAGAGCAGTAGCAATCTATAGTAAACACAGACAAGCCATCTGGCCTACATTGGGTAGACTGCCCCCCAGGGGTGGGGTTGGCAGTAGGGGGACCCGGGCCCACTCTACTCCACCGGGTCCCAGTCCAGCACCCTACCAGTGGCGAGTGGTCCCCCCATGGGTCAGCGGGGGTCCTACTGAAACATGCTGACTGGTTTCAGCAACACAACCAGACTAATACCTGGTTTCCCTGGGCTACTTCCTACCCCTACCGGTTCGTAGAGCTCCATTGCTTGCAGGTCCTCAGTCTCCTTGGGGTACTCTGCCGCTGGCGGCTCCTGGGGGTATTCCTCTAGTGGCAGTCCTGGTGGCTCCTCAGGGTATTCAGCCAATGGCAGCCTCCACAGATTCCCTCCCTCGGGGTCCCGCTCCAAGGGCAGGGGTTGGCACAGCTTGGGCCCTGGACCAGGGACCAGCAGCAAGTCCGACTCCTTCCCTGGCTCCGGCCAACTGAGCTGGAGGCCCCGCTTCTTATGCTTCCTGTTCTGCCCCTCCGCTTCTGGCGCGAGGGACTGGCCTGGCTCTGCCCACCAGAGGTTGGGGAGTGGTTCCTCCCTGCGGGCCTTGGAGGTTCTTATGACAGCAACTCAGTTAGTCCAGGAGATGTGGGATGGTTCCATCTAGCGCTGCTTAGCCCTGTTCTTTTATTTTTCCCTTCCCTGCACTGTGCAGAGTTCACCTCCCCGGAGCAGGCTCATTCCGTTGCTCTGAAACCGAACTGGGACTCGAGGTGAGGGCAGCAGTGACCGTCCAGTACAGATACGGCTTCTGGGATCAGCATCTGAGTGTATGGAGCACTCCTAAATGGATGATCGCTGGCCCTTTGTTCAGCATCCAGGCAGAACCGGCCGGGGCCGTGGCCGCCATTCACCTCCCGCACTTCCTGTGTCTCAGAGGTACCGTAGCCAAGGGCAATAACTGGGCTTGACACCTTGACTGAGAACTGGGAGGTAGAGCCCAAACCATGTGCCCCAGACAGAACTGCTCACCTCCCTCTCTTCATGTGTTTCAGAGGCAAGGTAGAATCATAGAATATCAGGGTTGGAAAGGACCTCAGGAAGTCATCTAGTCCAACCCCCTGCTCAAAGCAGAACCTAATCCCAACTAAATCATCCCAGCCAGGGCTTTGTCAAGCCTGACCTAAAAACCTCTAAGGAAGGAGATTCCACCACCTCCCTAGGTAACCCATTCCAGTGCTTCACCACCCTCCTAGTGAAAAAGTTTTTCCTAATATCCAATCTAAACCTCCCCCACTGCAACTTGAGACCATTACTCCTTGTTCTGTCATCTGCTACCACTGAGAACAGTCTAGATCCATCCTCTTTGGAACCCCCCTTCAGGTAGTTGAAAGCAGCTATCAAATCCCCCCTCATTCTTCTCTTCTGCAGACTAAACAAGCCCAGTTCCCTCAGCCTCTCCTCATAAGTCATGTGCTCCAGCCCCCTAATCATTTTCGTTGCCCTCCACTGGACTCTTTCCAATTTATCCACACCCTTCTTGTAGTGGGGGCCCCAAAACTGGACACAGTACTCCAGATGAGGCCTCACCAATGCCAAATAGAAGGGAACGATCACGTCCCTCGATCTGCTGGCAATGCCTCTACTTATACAGCCCAAAATGCCGTTAGCCTTCTTGGCAACAAGGGCACACTGTTGACTCATATCCAGCAGGATATGTAATAATTGTAATCCCAATCATACCTATCACAAAATCATGAATGGTGTGGTGAAAGTGTTATTTATCCCTTTACATAACGCAAGAACCAAGCGTCACTCAGTGAAAGTGATAGGCAAAATTCTGTGCATTAACCTTTGTAGATTTGGCAACACCAAAAAGATTCACTAATCTTTGTTGTCCCCTCCTTTCCCCCACCTCCCACCCCCCGAATTATTCTTTTTTTGCGCGGGGCGGGGGGAAGCCTAAAACAAAAAATTACAAAAAAAAATTGAAATGTTTTATTTTAACATTTTTTAAAATAATTTTTTTTTTTTTTAGGTTTTCGGGGTTTTGTTTGTTTGTTTGTTTGTTTGTTTGTTTCCAAATTTCCTTTCATTTTATTTTTAGAAGTTCAAAATCATTTAAAAAAAAATGGTTGAAACTGAAACAAAATGTTTCATTCCATCCGAAACAATTTTTTTTTTTTTTTACTTTCAAAATTCCAACAAACTGAAAAATGGCTTTTGCCCACCTTTAATCACAATGCATAATCGCTATCATGATGAGGGTCACAGTTGTAACCCTACTATCAATAGTACTGCAATCCCAGTGGCTGTGTTAATCATATTTACAACCATAGTCATGATCAATCACAATTATAATCAAATAATAATTGTTACTGGAATTTTAATCCCACCCATAATTATAATCTTTACTGAAACAGTTGTAATCAGAATTTTAGTAATTACCACAATCTTAACTGAAATGACAGCTCTAATTACAATTTTAGTCATTGCCACAAACTTAATTGAAATTTCAGCCCTGATCACAGTTATAGTCACTACCACAATTGCTGTCAGAATCAGGACTGTATTGATTACCATTTTAATTTTGATTGTAACCTATTTACACTGATGGTTACAAATTTGAGTATCAGATTTGTGATCATGATCATTAATATAGTACTGAGCACTATTAATACAGGGCTTTTCATCCATAGATCTTCAAGTCATTTACCAAGGCTGATTGAAGTAGAAATGATTGGACTGTGAGCTTTGATTTAGCTCTGGGAGTGTAGACTCTACAGGGCTCTGCTCCCATTTCCAGGAGTCTGTACATACGGGCCATGCTACGCTGGACAGCAGCTGCTTGGCTGTCCAGGAGTAAATACAAACCCAGGCTAGCAGTAACTAAGGGAGCAGGCTGGGAGCTCCCAGGGAGCGGGGTCAGACCGAGCATAGGGAAGGGGGGACATCCAAGCAGCCCCTAGAACTCCTTCCATAAGGGGGGCAGGAACAGGCGTTTGCAGAACTCAGGTGGATACGTGGCCTCTCTGACAGCAAGAAATCACGACAAGCTAATGGAGCATCATTTGCGTTGTGTCCCACTGACAGGGGCTGACACCTCCCGGATTCAAATCGCCCATTTCATCGAGGAGGGGATGACTCTGGAGAAGCCAATGCAAGTGAGGCCGTTCCACGCCGTGCTGGAGAACCCCAGCTTCTCCCTGTATGGAGTGGTCTGGGGGAATCGCTCCAAACCACCAGTGCTGATCCACTCCATTGTGCTGCTCTACTGGGCACTCAAGATGGCAAAGACAACTCTTCACCTCTACATCATCCCCAATGACCACTCCCGGTTCAAGGTAACTGAGAATCAGCTACAACCTACAATCGGTGTGAGCCGCCCTATAGCAGAGAGCATGGCATAATTCACAAGGCATGCAGCTGGGGTGATAGCTGTGCACTGAAACATATTTCTGAAGACCAATTTCTGCCACTAGGCATTTCACTCCAACAATTCCCTGCTCTGACTCTAGTGTGCTGGCTGACCTTGGGCAAGTCACTTCCCCGTTCTGTGCCTCAATTTCCCCATCTTTTTAAAATGGGGATCATGATGCAGCCTTGCCTGTGTAATGCACTTTGAGATCCACTGATGAAAACCATTATATAAGAGTTAGGTATTATTATTTATTATTAATAATATTTTATTGTTACATCACCCAGAAAATGATCTAATAGATTAGCAGTGAAAAATGATTAAGAAGGTTACTTATGCACCTTCTGTTTTGGTCCCAGATTTATTGTGTTCAGATAACCTTAAACTAGACACTTCAAACTTGGCTTGTTCTGTAGATCTCACTGAGACTGAAGCATCAAGCCGATTTTGAAATAAACCGGTTCAGGAGCTTTAAAAATGATAACAGTCTAATGGCAAATGATGATGGAAAAATTAATAAATCATGGACTTCTGGGTTGGTGTTCTGGATAACCCAGGCTGCTGAAACAAGAAGTTCTTGCTGATCCTTTGCAGTATAATCTTATAGGTTCAGAAATGGAGTCACAGGCATGGTGGAACTTCTGCGTGGACTGTGAGGCTGCTGCTATCCTCATGGAGAATCTGGAGCTGTATATTGGCTATGTCTACCTTTCCATGTCCTACTACTTTGATAGTCATGAAGTGGTCTCGAGGCCAACAGCCCAGTTCTTGAAGAAGCAGTCCCATGAGCAGGGGGAGCATGCAGAAAAGTTCCTGAAATACCAGAACAAGCAATTGTGCTGCAAGCCATCAAGAAGCCAGAGCAGGGTGAGTGGGGGAAGAGAGTGGAAGCCCTTCACCGGTCACTGTAGCTGGAGAAGACTGGGAACAGGTCCTGCTACCAGACCTCCTCAGTGTCTGAATACCTGGATGAGCAAGTGAAGGTTATCAAGCATCTGGGAGACAATCTCATCAACCTGTTGTCAGGCTTCCTGGGAGTACCCTGGTTTGTGAGGCACCTCACTACAATGTACCCTTAGCATAAGGAAGTCTTGTCTGTGCCTGCTGGGGTCAGCTCCCCAACTCCACCGACAACACAAGCACTGCCTTCCTGGCCTACGCAGGCCACGCGCTCTCCCTGCAGGTTAGCTATAGGCACACTCCACCCTTCGAGCCCTCCAAGCATTTTCCTGAAATGTCCAGCCCCTGTTCCACTGAACACTTGCAGTATTCAGATTCGCTGCTCCCAAAGAAGCAGTACGCACCAGCTTACCAGTTGCACCTCAGATCACCGCTCCACTTAACACACAGCACTGAGATGTGTTCATAGTGGAAACTGCTAAATAAGCTTTTATTCAAGTAGAGAGATGTGAGAAGTATCAAGGAAAAGTATGGGAGACAAATGGTTACATGTGAAGCCAAATCATCACTTGTCTTCTAGAGCCTAGACTTCATTCACCAGATATAATTGCTGTCTATTGAAGTTTAGCGCCCCTAAAGTCTCTGCGGCATTCTCCTGCCAGGTTGGCTGTGACCCTGCTTTTATATGACAGAACACGCTGACCATTCCCCTCCTCAGGGCAGGATCCATGCTGTGCCTCCGTACCCCTAGTTATACCCCCCAAATCTGTTGTCTTCACTCGTGAACAGTCTACCCCCCAGCTGTTTGTGTTTTCCTTACAGCTTTCTCCTCTTGCTGCATTTGCCATTTCTGATTAGCCTCAGGCTCAGTAATGTAGATAGGCCTCCACTGTGAAGCAGACTAGCCAGAGAGAGAAACCTGACATGAGTGTGTTTATCACCTTCTGGTGACCTGCCTTAACTTGCATACCTGAAGAAGAGAACTTTCAGTACAGATACTTAATTCCTTAAGCATTGTCCAGGCATACATTGCCTGATGATTATGATGACCAATGGGCTTCTGCCTCTTGGAGGAGACCTCACATGCCACGCTTTGGTAAACTGAATAGGCACACATCTGACCCAGGGGATTCCTGGAAAACTCTATGCACCTGCTGTGTCTTCTGCCAGTTGGCACCAAGAGGTTCCCGGATCACACTTGGGAGTGCTCCAGAACGGCATGGGAGAGCAGCTGTTTGGCAAGCACATACTGGAGGAGAGCAGCTGATCTCTCCATTAGGAAGTTTTGTCCTAAAGACCGGTGTCCATCGCAGAGACTGTGACGCACCAGTAAGCTCTCGTTCCTTTGCATATGATTTGCTGAGAAAATGATGATCTGCAGTGGGCAATTTCTGATCAGAAAAAGGGGTGCGCCCTGGGGTGGCTGGCCCTTTACAAGGAGATGGGTCTCAGCCCCACCAGTGACACTGTTAGTGCCTCTCCCCAAATGGGGGAAATGAAGATACTCATGTGACGTGGGTCCTGTGACTCAATTAGGCCTCTGGCGTAGGTAAGGTAGTGGTGTGGGAGTGAACCAGAAGTTTGTCTCCTGGTGTCTCCAAGCCAAAGAGAAGACAGCCCAGGGAGCGTTTGGATCTTTTCCTGGGGGCAGTAAAGACTCCAGATAAAAAGGTCTGGAAGTGGCTGCGCCATGAAGAGCAGAGCTGGGAGTGTAATGTGTAAATGTTTAACCGTGAGGGTATCTAACCACTGGGACAACATACCAAGGGCTGTAGAGGATTCTCTCTCACTGGATGGAGAGGGTGATGTTTATCTAAAAGATCTGCTCTAGGTCAAGCAGTGGTGTTGTAGCCATGTCGGTCCCAGGATACTAGAGAGACCAGGCAGGTGAGGTCGTATCTTTTGCCCAGTAAAAGATATGACCTCACCCACCTTGTCTGCTCTAGTGCAAACAGGAATGATCTTAGGGCAGTTCTGTGGCCTGCGATATACAGGAGGTCAGACTAGATGATCAGAGTGATCCCCTTCTGGCCTTGGAAGCTATGAATCTGTGCAATAAACCAGCCCCAAGCAGGGGTGTTAGTGGCCAAGAGAAAGCAGCAGTCGGGCTCTTGAAGAGAGGGAACTGAAGGTGGGGTGCCTACAGGGCCACCTCGTGCCATGAAGTCATGTTCTGGGGGTGGTGTCCCTGTTTCAAGGGGAAATGAGCTCCTTGGGACAGGGATTGTCTTTGTACAGCACCTGGCACAATGGGGTCCTAGCCCATGATTGGGGTTCCTGGGTGCTATAATAATAATATATGAAATTAATGGATGCAAACTATTCGCCCAGTTCATTATAAAACTAACCTTTCCCTGAGAGAAGTCTGCCCTCCTAATACAAGATACAGCTTTTCTCGGTCTAAGCCCTGGTCTACACTGGGGGTGGGGCGGGGGGAGGAGGGATTGATCTAAGTTAAGCAACTTCAGCTACGTGAATAATGTAGCTGAAGTCGACATACTTAGATCGACTTACTGTGGTGTCTTCACTGCGGTGAATCGACTGCTGCTGCTCCCCCGTCGACTCTGCTTGCGCCTCTCGCGGCGCTGGAGTACAGGAGTCGACGGGAGCGCACTCGGGGGGGTCGATGTATCGCATCTAGTCTAGACGCGATATATCGATCCCTGCTGGATCAATTGCTGCCCGCCGATCCGGTGGGTAGTATAGACATACCCTAAGTAACAAAGACCCTTCTTTCGGAGGGCTGTTGTGTGGGAGGGGAAAGGGAACTTGGCAGCTGCTGTTGTGTTTTCTCTGTGTAGCTCCAATAAAGGATGGTGCTTGTATGTTACAGGCCGTTGATGACTATGAAAAGAAGTGTCCATCAAGGCTGGTGTCGACATCTCTTCGGACCCATAAGCCCCTGACCTTTGATTCTCGTTACGTTGTGTCCAGTCAAGCAAACATAGAGGTGACTCCCAAGGCAAGTGAGATGATCCTCTTTTTCTTCCATAGAGGCCGGAAAAACATCCTGGTTCTCTGTCCTGTTGGGGAGTGGTGGACTGGGAGTTAAAGCGCTTGGCTTTTGTTCCTGCCTCTAGTAGCGAGTCAGAACAGGGGGCGCTGTGAGTCAGGACTCCCTTCTAGTCCCAGCTGTTGATCATTTGTCTAGTCAGTTGCTTGACCAGGCTTGGTTCATTATTTCGTTATGAAATATACTCAAGAGACCAAATAAACAATGTCAATCAGGCTTATTAGTATGGTACAGGAAAAAGGTTCTGTACGATACCAGTCTTCGAGGAGCCGACCTGCGTAGTGATGTTACATTCACCTTACACAGAAGATGTGCTCCCCAAAGTTACACATTTCAGCTGGTATTGTTTATATGATCTTACAGGCTACACATCTCTTTACACGTCACTAAAATCCAACCCATCAGTTTGCTCCAGTTCTCTAACTTCTTTTGGTTCTTCCTTATCTTGGTTTTGGATACTAACATTCCAGGTAGTGGTCCGTGAAGGTCCTTCCCTAGCTTGTATTAAGACATAGAACAAGTGTATCTTGATCCTGACAAGTTTCCTATCAGTTTATGCCCAATGCTTACTTCAGCTACTGCAGGACGTAATGGGATACTTAGCATAAGTGAACACGATTATGGTATAGACCAGTTTAGGCTACATCACTGTTGCAATATTTGTACTTAATGTTATTGGTGCGTAATGCATACCAGTAAATATGGTATGGATAATACATATTATGATTTTTTTTTTTTATGCTAGCCAGCATATATTAGTCAACACCCCTCTGGAAAGGGAGTGAGGCCTACTCTTTAGAGCAGGGGAGCCTGGGAGTCAGGACTCCTGGCTTCTTTCCCTAGCCCAGGGGGAGTAGGGTCTATGGGGTTACAGCAGGGGCCCTGGGAGCCCAGACTTGTGGATTCTATTGCCAACTGTGGAAGAGGAGTGGGGTCTAGTGGGTTAGAGAAGGAGATTTGGACTCAGGACCTCTGGGTTCTATTCCCAGCTCTGCCATTGTCTGCTGTGTGGACTTTGTGCCTCAGTTTCCCCAAACACAGGACTGGGCCAGAGAATGTTTTTGCAATTCAAAAATTTTCTTTGGCCTGCTCTAACTAACATACCATATCCCCTTTCCGAGCCTTGCTGGCTCAAGAGGGGGTCACCCTGAATGCAGTTCTTTTGTTTTCAATCAGGAGCTGGAGTTTTGTAACATCCAAGCAGAGTGTCTGCAGTCATATATGGAAATCTACACCAAGGACATTCAGGGGGGACTGGAGTTCAGCTTGGTAGAGAAAATTAACAAGGAGCCCATCTGGGAGGCACATGTGAGACCAGGTAGGCTCAGCTCAGCAGGAGATCACGGCAGGGGAGAGGTTTGTGCATGGTGCCCCAATCTGCTTCTGCTGATGGCTAGTTCAAAACCTAGGAATAGGATCTTCGTCTTTGACTCCATCTCCTGTCTGACTTCCCATTTCTCTCTCTCTCCCAGAGGATGCGACGCTTTCTGTTTCATCTGCCCAAACTCAAACAGGTCAGTAGAAATGTACTCAGGCTCCAGTACCTAAGGCCATTTCTTCTCTCAGACAGAGCCCTCCAGTGAGAAGCCCAGAAAACAGAGCATTAAACCCCATCTAGTCCATGTGTTGTGTGGCGTAAATGTGCAGCTGTTAAACAGCTGTCAAGATCCACAACAGAGGTGGCTACACTTCAGCGCTGGAAGAGGCATCTCTGCCCAGCACTGCTATGTGGCTACCAACTTTGCACCACACCCTAGAGATGGCTGCATGTTAGCACTGGGTGAGCGGTCCCTCTCTATCTAGCTGCAAGGCTAAATAAGGTGACATTCATTTGGGAAATGTAAGATGATCAAAAGACAGCATGATAAACCTCCATTCATTCTCTCTCCCCTTCCTCATCCTCACCTAGATGAGCATTTTGTCAACCAGCACCGAGCACAGCTGATCCAGCGGGTGATGGCAGTGGATGGCATCCTGGATTCATTGTATGGCCCCGTTCTGGATCTGGAGCAAATCCAGAGCATCAGAGCGGAGAGATCCAGTGTGGAGAAGATGAGGAAGCTGTACGAGCTGGTGCCTAAATGGGACAATGACTGCAAGGACCGGCTCTACCAGGCACTGAAGGAGAAGCACAGACCTCTAGTGGAAGAGCTTGAGGGGATATAGATTGTCCCTTGGGGGCAGCAGCATTCTAGTGGGGGGACAGGATGTGCTTCAAGATCTTCTCCCAATTCCAAATGACCAGCCCAACAGCCGGAGTCCATAACCCATAACAGTGTCCGTCAGGTGCTGGTCTTCTGCTTCTTAACACACCCAGCTTATTGTGCTAAGGTGAATACTTGTCTCGTGATGAGAACAGCTGGGGCGTGGGAGTCGGGAGTCCTGGGTGGTGGTCCTGGCTCTGGAAGGGGAGTGGGGTTTAATGTTTGGTGAGGGGGGCAGGGCTGGGAGTCAGGTTGCCTGGGTTCTATTTCCTGAACCAAACTGGGGGGATCGAACTCCAAAGTCAAGGTTCCCTCATAGAAAATGCTCTGCTGGCTACTCACGTATTTAGGCTCCACTTCTTCAGTTGTCTGGACTGCTATGCTTGGGAGTCGCCTTTGAGACTTCCATGAAGGTCTGCGTAGGCAAAGGTATCGACCCGAACAGATCCAACTACCAAAGAGCTCAGGTGCCTTCACCGACCACAGGGGAATGTACAGAAATGATATTAAATCTCTCCTGTGGGGTGGGTGTGCTGGGAATCAGACCCCCAGTTTGGGGAGATTAAGGTCATCTAAGGTCCCCAGTTATTTCCAGTGGTCTGTAGCTAAGGAAACTGTCAAAGGTGAGTGAGCCATTCCTGATGCCACCTTTGCTGCTGTCAGCTAAAATATCAGTACTTTTGCACTGACTGAGTTCCTGGAATCCAAAGGACTCCCTGTGCTTTTGCAGTCTTGCAGCCAGAGAGTGGAAAACCTGATCTGTGTAGGCTCCAAGGGGGTCTGAACTTGATGGAACAAACTTTCCAGACAACAAGTCTCTCTCTCTCTCTCTCTCTCAAAGGTGTCACATTAGCACTGGAGACCTCATGGTACTGCAAAGAGAGTAGAGTGAATCATGGATTTTCTGGCTTGGGGGCTGAACCAAAAAATCCAAACAAAAAAATCTGTTCGATTTGAACAGAAAACGGTTTCTTTCCTTTTGTTGTTGAATCGAAAATAATTCTTTTAGAATCAGCCTTTATTTTATTTTAAATCTTAAATTTTTTTTTTTTTTTTTTTTTAGTTGATTTGGCTATTTCAGGTGTTTTCCACATGGTTTTTTGGTTTGTTTTGAATTGGCCAAATTTGAAATCAGAACACCTGTTTGATTCAAAAAGTCTAATCAATTTTTTTTCCAACCGAAACTAGTCATCAAATTTGACGGGGGGTATAGGGCTTTTCTTCACATGGCCAATAATCTGTCTCACCTGAGCAATCATACTGACATCAACTGCTCGTTTTTTCCAACTTCCACATTCTTGGAAGGCAAAAGTTGGGCACCCTGGGTGCCCACAATCTCAACACCATCCTTAGCAATATGTATTTGTCTGGTGAAAGTGGTGCCTGGGCTGGATGTCATGTAGTGAATGAGATGGGAATTTCATGGATCATCAATGTTAAGGCCAGGAGAGACCATTGTGATCATGTAGTCTGACATCCTCTATAACAAGCCAGAGAACCTCCCCGAATGAACTGGATGCTCTAATGTAGATTCTTCTTAGAGTTATTGTCCGTATATATATTCTATTGTTTGGTGCATGAGCAAGCACCCAGGGCACTCAAGCAGGACACTTTTGATCAGCAGCACCCATTGGGGCAGTGCATTCACCCTGAGCACCCTCATGACTGCAACGAAAGGCATGTAGGGCAGGGCTATCCCAGATGCCCCTGAACTCCCTCTCAGCTCTGAGTTGGTGTTTTCACACTTAGCCTCTTCACGCACTGTGTGGCCTTCTTTTATCTTGTCAGTACATTGTAAGCAGACAGTAGTTAAGATAAAGTTTTGGCGTTAGGTATTTTTAGATGGAATTTGTTGTCGTTGTTCAGAAACTTTCCTTTTCCGTTCCTGGGAGGTACTTGGTGCTAGAGCTGGTGAAAGTTTTCAGATGAAACTTTTTTTTTTTTTTTTTACCCCCACTGAAAAATGCATATTCAGGTTGACCAAAACATTTTGGAGTTCAATTCACCAAATTGTTTCAGCCCTCCCCCGCACCAAAAAAAAAA